ATAAAAATATACATTTTTAGGTAAAATTAGATTTTTAAATGTCAGCAATGAATTTAGTTTCAAAAATGCAATGTGCATCAAAAAGAATATATACAGACCACATAGGGGCTAGTAACAGATGGCCGCTGTTCCTCTGCTTACGTAATTGTATGGGTGGAGACCTCAGATAGATCATCTACTCCATTGTGAGAAAGCTCTGGTTGTAAAAGTTGCAAGGGTTAAGCCAAATCTGCCTCTTTGAATTCCCCCTCAGTCTCCCCAGTGGTCCCCTGAAGCTACATATAATAAACTAATAATTCCTTTCTAACTGGGAATCATCCAAATATCTGAAGACGGTCTTGTGAACATTCCAATTCTTTGTATAAGTCTCTGAGGTCACTTCAGGCTTTTCTCATTCCATAAGCATCTCATTAGCGCTCCCACCTCTCTTTGAAAAGCCCTCTGTTAAGAGTGCTTACTGCATGGTTCTGTAATTTATTTGAACATCTGATTATCTAAAAGAGTGGTCTGAGAGTTTCATGGGAGTTGGGAGCAAGCCTTATGCATTTTTGTATACATATCTTTTCATATTGCTTAGTACATAGTAGATGCCAAGAGTGAATGGGAAGAAGAAAAGAAGGAAAAGGAAGAAAATTAAAAGAGAAGGGAGGGAAAATGAAAATGAGCAAGAAAGGAAGGAAGGAAAACAAATTAAGTTAGTTAATAATATATCAATAGTTTCCAGATCCATTACCTCTTCTATGGACATGTCTTTGTCAATCTTAAAATGTCAAATTTGGAATTATGGTCTGAATGTGTGCTGACAGGACTATAGTTTTCTTGATGGGCACTGGATGGCTATTGATGCACTCCAAAGACTGTATCATTATTTTATTTTTTTGGTCTTAGGCATTCTTATTGGCTACCATGATAGCTATGATTGTCCTTGTCCTCCCCCTCTCCCCACTATGAACTATTACTAAGTCAGATTTTTTAACCTGCTAGTTGTGTGACATTGGCTATCTGAACCTAAATTCAACACTTTTTAATTTGTCCCATAAAATGCCACCTTGTTATTTGCAGCCCTACTCGTAAAGACCTGTACTGGATTTTGATTTTGTAGTTCCACCCAGTGCATTACCTCGCTGTCTCTCTAAAAGCTCAGACTGTAGCCTCTTCTGGTGTCAAGTTGGTGGAGAGGGCCAGCTGAGGTCATTGTCTTGGGGGAATGCAATCATCAGTATGGAGTGACTGGAGCAAGACAGGCCTGGGTGGAGCTTCACAACAGGGGCTGCTCTGGGGCCCACAGAAGGGACATAATTCACAGAGAATGAGAGGGAGGGGCTGAGAGGAAAGGGTTTTGATGAACCTTCTTCAAAGATCTGCCTAGGGCTGGGTCTCACCATTATACTTTAAGAATGTGAACAATCAGATATTTCTTTGTTTGCTTTATTTCCTACACACATTGATTTAATTAATCATCTTACAGATACTCTGAACTCTATCAATGTCTTCTCCAATTTTCTTTTAGTGGAGAAACAAACAGGCATGCTTTTCTCATCTAGATATGACGTTATCAGCACCAGAATTCTGACATTGACCCTTAATTCTCATTAAAATGATGATGGGACTGGCTCTAGGCATATGGGTAGCTTGCTGTTCAAGATAATCCAGATCCCACATGGTGACCACAGTTCTAATCCCCTGCCCACATGCCTGAAACACCAGGCACATATGTAATGACCAGGATTGTATGAGCTGAAAAACTGGAAGAAGGGCATCAAGGCATGACCAGGCCTTGAGGAGGGTATTTTCTATGTCTCTCTTATGTGTGCACATGTACTCTATCACAAATGGGGGAAATTTTTTAAAATGATGCTAATTACAATGCCACTTCATTTTGCTCAACAGTTTATGTTTTTCAAAGCATTTTTATGTAAATCCCTGGATCCTCGAAACAACCTGATAAAAATCACAGAGGAGGGACCAGCAGATGGAGTAATGGTTATGTTGCTGGATTCCCACATAGTCAACCGCGGTTAAAATCCAGATCTGGCGACTTAAACTCATGCTGGGCATATGTGCATGCATGCCCAAAGTCCTGAGAATGGAGGGATTACAGCGTGGCCATCCCTTCTGGGAGGTGATTTTTCGCTTTCTGTCTCTTTGGCTAGCTCATGTGCCCTGTAGCAAAAATCTGTCTAAAGAGAAAGAAAGAAAAGAGATAATCACAGAGGAAATAAGCCCAGCTCTAGCCAAAGGGCATTCATAGCCATGAACAATGAAATGGGCTCCAGCTCTTCATGAAAGCCCAGCTGATTTCAGTAAAGGATCAGTCACAGACCTTCAAGAAATCCATGGAGGCACCTTCCTATGTGAGGTATCTTGTGGAAGTTTCATTTTCTTCTTAGGAATGTTATTTTGTAATCAGCATTTTCTAAACCCTCGTGATTCTGTTGGGTTGTTGGAAAGTCATGATGCATTTTTGCAAAGAAAACCAGAAAAAATACATCATTACTTTTTCGACAACTTAATAATTTAAGAGAGGTGGGCACTTACTTTTTTCAAAGCCTAGAAGTAGTTTTGATCTACTTTTAGTCTTGTGTCTTGTATTAATTTTTTTTTAATGAGACAAAAAGGAGTATGAATTACACTATTTACTCTGATACCAAAAACCACTGTGTCTGTAAAAACTGCAATATTATACCTAAGCCAGAGATTTTTAAAATATTTAAAGAATGATTCCTTATGCTGGATTTATTAGAGATTTATTGATTTTATTGGTTCCACCAAAGAAATAACCCTTGGAATAATTTGTCAGTTGCATGCTTTAATTTGTTTTTGTATTTTTTAACATTATATTTTACTTGGTTTTTAAAAAAATTCTTATCTGGGGCCAGCAGGTCGTGTGATGGTTAAGGCGCTGGATTCTCACATGGACAACTATGGTTCAAGTTCCAGATCTGGAGGCTTGCTTTCCCACTTTCTCTCTGGTCAAATTAAACAAAATAAGAATAATAATAAATAAAATATAAAAGCTAATTCTTTAAAAATGTCTTTTCTTTCTTTCTTTCTTTTTTCTTTTTTTTAACTTTCTTAAGAGAGATTTTTGCTATAGTATGTGTGAATTTGCCAGAGAGACAGAGACAGACAGAAAGAGAAAGTAAGAAATCACTCCCCAGGGGGAATGACCACACCACAATCCCTTTTCCTCCATTCTCCTTTCCGGATTTTGGGCACGCACGCACATGCACCCAGTATGAGTTTTAAGCCACTTCAACTGTTTCGACTATGCGGGAGTCCTAGCAATGTAATCATTATGCCATCTACTGGTCTCATCTTATTTGATTCTTAATTCATTTATTTTCCTTTTTCATGTGATAAGAAACATACTAAAATCTATGAATTTGCAAGAAACAGATCATGTGGATCCTGGTACTTCTGTGCCATATTTGTTAAGTTTATATATGTGGTGTTTTGATTAACTAGTCACCAAATAGTTTGTTAACAATTTATATAAGTATTTTGTTGTTATGTATGTATATATGTAAATAGGTATTTATGTATATGTATTGGATTGTCAGAACAGTCATGACACATTCTTGCATAGTAAAACATTGAAAAATACATCATGACTTTTCCGATCACACATAATTAGTCATTTATTACTAAAAACATTATATATTTACATACATACTTCTGTACTTTTTATTTTTAAATGCCAGAGGGTACAAGAGAGAGACAAAGAAAGAGAAAGCATCCCCCAATGGAGGCCTAGTCTCACCATCACCCCTTTTCCTCCAACTCTCTCATCCTTCATGGTCCTGAGCATACAGATCTGGGACTTGAACTCTGGTCAGACATGTGAGATCCCATGTCCTCTCCACCGTGCTTAACTTGTGTTATAAGGCTAGCCCCATACATCTATATTTAATGTTTTCTGTTGGCATAGATTATTCAGTGCATCTAAGTCCTTGTCAATTCTTTCATCTAAAACACAGTTAAGAAACTGGAATAAAATCCTCAAGGAATTATCTCATTTACACCAATAATATATGCCATAAATACTGAAATGTATAGTGTTTGAAAGGCCTTTAAGTTCTTCTTTGTATGCTTATTGTCTTATCAGGGTTGCCTGATATATTTTCTGTTGGTAAATTAGTAACTGGCACTTAGTATTTATGGGAACTAGAAGGGTCATTATCAACAGCAAGTTCTTAACAGTGAAAGATGTAAGTTCATGGAAGACAGAGACACAGAGAGTTTGTCCTTCTTACATGTACAGCAGCTGACACAGTGCCTGGGACACAGTAGGTGCTTAACAACACTTTTTAAGTGAAGGAAAAAGAGATGGAAAACCCAACAGGAATTTAGGAGAGGAGTCAGCATGACTGAAGTTTTAGGCAGTCTGTTAAAAGACAAATTAAGTGCAAAACCCCAGTTTTTATCAGTTAGAGAAAAATATTGTGACTCAAAGAAGGCCGATTCTTGGTATAAATAGAGAATTCATGTATTAATGACAAAACTATGATGGCCTTTTACCATTCTGTGAGGACTAGTGGACTGAGCAATTAAGATAAACAGTATTTATACAGAAAGGCCAGCCACAGCTAAATATTGATATACATATCAGCATTTCAGGGTGGACTATGGTCATTGTGATCTGTAGGGCTACCATGAGGATGAAGGGTGCCTCCACTTCCATCCAGAGGCAGGGTGGTGGTGCTTTAGTATACATTACTGATGTGGGAATCCAGTATTTATGTAACTCCCTTCTAATTAGGTTCCACTAAAGGAGAGGACTTGAACAGAATTACTCAAACTTTTCAAACAAATGACATGTTGCTTTTTTTTTTCTTTTATAACTAGAAAAAAATAAAGTTGGGAATTTCTACTTGTCTTTTCACCTTCCCTCCTCCTGCCCCACCTCCTCCAACACTCCCACTAATGAAATAAACATACGATTTGCACTCAAAATGCCATCATTTATGAAAGCAGCTAAACATTTAATTTCAACTTACCTCCTGCACATATGGTGGATGGCTCAGCTGCTAGAATTTCAATGCAGGACTTCTTCAAAATCTAGAAGGAGAGGAAATAAAAAAGTCAGTGCACAGCTTATTTTTGTCAAAAGAGAGAATTAGGATTTTGCTCCTAGCTATCGAGACAGAGACAGGAAGGTTCAAGAACATTAGGTTCCAGTAGGTGTAGAGGGAGGACATTTTTCTTAGTATCATCAATGCCAAATATTTAATGAACCTAATTGTGTTAGATGCTGGGTAACTTAAAAGTCGTAAGAATTATTCATCCATTTGTTCTTTAGACAGGTAATTATTGAGCCTGTGACATGGCAACCCTAGTTTTGTAGAGGTCTGACATAGAGTTGTGGAAATGAGATTTACATTTGAAATGATCAATGACAGTGGCCGGTCATATTAGATAGGTGCAAAGATAAAGGGGCAGACTGTAAGAACTATGGAGTCCATGGGGGACATGGGGGCAGGTACACTAGGAAGGGCATCATGGAAGAGATGGGGGCTGAGGGTAGGACTCAAATGGAGGGGTGGGTTAGAGGAGGGTTAGGGTTCACATATGGAAAGGCATGGGCAAAGGTGAGTTAATACATAGAAGTACATAGACCTTTTTAACTGGAACAAAGAGAGCTTGAAAAGTAGGTAGATAAAGCTGGAAAGACTGGATGGAGATGCCCAACTCTCCATAGACATTGCATAGTCAGATTATTCAGAGTTCCTTTTTTGTTAGAAAAATCTGAAAAGATGTGGGAAGTCTTCGAAGGCTGCTTGCTGTGCCTCACTCTTTTTTTATTTTTTATTTTTTTACTTTTAAGAGGTGTTTGCTATAGGATGTGTGTGCTAGCCAGAAAGACAGAAAGAGACAGAGAGACAAAAAGTGAGAAATCACCCCCTCAGGGGGAATGGCCATGCCACAATCCCTTCTCCATTCTTCTCTCGGGATCTTGGGCACGTACGCACATGCGCCCAGCATGAGTTTAAGCCATCGGGTCCGGGACTTGAACCGTGGTCGACTACATGAGAGTCCAGTGATGTAGCCGTTATGCCAACTGCTGGTTCCATGTTCCTCACTCTTAAGGAGGACCTCTGAACCTTGCTTAAATGGAAATGGACTCTTCTTTGCAAATGAGTTCTGGAGGGTTGAATAGAGAATCTAACAGAACTCCATGACTGCCCAGGGAACTAATGATAGAGATTTCCTCTGCCCAGAGCAGGGTATCTGACTGGTAGAGTCTAAGCTCCTCTCTACCATTTATACAGGGACTTCAAAAAGTCTGTGGAAGGATGGAATTAAAGTACATGTTTATTTTGGTTCAAAAAATGGTTGAAATTCATGCATAGTTTTTTCCACAGTCACATTTCCATGAACTTTCTGAAGACATCGTGTGTAATTCCTGGCTCCTGTCAAATACTGATTCTAACATTTGAATCGAGAGTTTTAAACAAGTATAGAAAATACAGGTAATTTACAAACCAAATGCAGTATCTCTGCTCTGGCCTTACTTAATTTGGAATTTGAGTTTGTTTAGAGGTCGAAGGAAACAATTTCTCTATTTATGAAAGTGGTATTTGTTAAAGCAACTAATGATGTAATTATAAAATTTAAAGAACATAAAAGAGGAAAGCATCTTTTAACATTGGGAAACTCCCATTTATTTCTACTGATATATTATTTATATTTGCTTCTTTGTTCCAGCTTAAGTGATAAAAGATACAGTCAACTATGATGGAGTTAGGAGGCAAGTTAAAGGTAAAATAAGGAGACGATGAAGGAAAAAGTAGGAATAACAGAAAAATATGCCACGAGGAGTTTATTTCCTTGCTTGGAATGATCTTAATTCCAAGCTTTCTAGTAGTAAATGAAAAAGACAGACAATATTTATGAACTTCTCAATCTAGGAAAATATAAACAAACTGGTTTCTCAGAAGAGCTAATATTTACCCAATCCAGAGAGAAATCTGGGAGTCCTCATAGAGAAGCATTGTGGAAGGAAATGAACAAACATGCTTAAGAAAATCTCTACCTGAGGTAGACATGACAGAATATTAAAATTTACTCATTGAACACGATGCTACTGTAATCATATATTTTACGTAACTATACCTAAAAGTCATAAATAGCGGTATTTCTCTCTTTGACAATTCTAAAATTCAGATTTTCTAGCTACTTTTTCTTCATTCGCTCTACAGTTTCATGGCATTTTCATACTTTGAGCCTCTGATTTGTTTCAGCTTCCTCCTGATCCTGCAGTTGGAAGTACTTTGCTCCTTCAGGTTTGGCCTTCTGTCCTTGGACTCTGGCTTACACGGCCATCTTCCTCACCCCAAACACAGGTACAGCCTCAGTTCCTCACTGGTCCCTGAGCCAGTCCTGACTACAGCAGGAAGCCAGTGTTCTGATTCCCAGATCTCTTGTGCATCTCTGTTTCACTCAGTGGTCCTCACTCACCGGGGTCTGGGAACCTGTTGTCAATAAAGCTCTTGCTTCTCTTTCATTGTCATTCTGAGTTGGGAACAGGGACCCCCAGGATATACCCAGGCACCTGTGTTTCCCTGCTGGCTTCCCCATCCTCCCCTTTCCTATGGCTGATCTAATCTCTCTGGATTTTTATGCATGTAGTAATGTCCTAGAACTGGAACTGCTAGGATTCTGGTACACAGTGACTCACATTCTGGGTGATGATTGCCCCCTCCTTCCCATTTGCTGCCACTGGACTCTTCCTCCCTCCTGAGTCACCTCAGGTAGTAGTTGCCATGACTGAGGAAGACAGCCACCCCCTGACATGTCCTCAGATACAAGTCTCCAAACATGACACATGTGAAGAAAAAGAGCTAACTCAGAGGGAGAGCAGTATTAAATAGTTGCATTAAAACAACATGAAGCTATTTTTCGATGTTTTAAATAAAATTCCTCAGGCATTTGATATCTCTTAATAAATCATTTTATCACCCACAACTGCAGATTTCAAAATAGTTCAAGAATAAAAATGAAATTATTAGACCTACCATTTCCCCATTCCCCAAAACACATACATAAAATTTCCACCCAGCTAAGTTCTGGAGTTTGGACCAGCATTTTGAACCAGTTCTAATCCTTGACCAGGGATCCATTGGTAAAGGAAACTCTAGTGAGTCTTTGACCACAAAGACACACTAACAGGGTTTGTCATAGTAAACACATGCTGTCCTATTCTCTCAAAGTGTCTGCAATTAGCTGGTAAATCTAAGAAGTGTATAAAGGGCCAAAAAATGTCAGCCAAGCACTGTGATTCAGTCCAGTAAAAACACAGCTTTCCCAATCTTAACTTAAAACATCTGGAAGGGATTCAGGAGAGCCAATGGAATAAAATTTATCAGTGAGGGGGATGGGCAGGATTTGTCTGAGATTGTGGCTCTTATTAGTTTGCAAGGTCTGGTTTCAAAAGGTAGGAAATCACAATGCACAAAGTGGATTTGGGGATTCCCTTGGTGATTAGCAGCACAGACTGTGTGGTAATCAGTCTGTCTGAACTGTAGCAGACAGCAGATCACCTTGGAGATTGGGGTTGCACCTGTGTTTGTGGGTGGGGAGCTGAGGGTTCCTCCTCAGCCTAGGCCATGGTTGCCCTGGAGGAGGTGTAGACACAACTGGGGAATCACTGAAAGGAAATCACTAAAAGGAGTAGAAGGGACTCACACAGGGTTAGGGTGATGTAAGAGGCTTTGAGGTGGGGGTATAATTGGTCTGTAGAGAAAACCAAGCTGAGACTACTAATGTCTCAAGCATAATCCCGGAAGGAAAGTTGGGCCTTGGTCCTGGTTCTGTACTTAACCTGACCTTAACAAATCTTTTAACTTTATGGAATTCAATTTCAGAAAGCAGTTTAACATACTGAGTAATAGATTGGAATCTGGAATCAAATTGCTTGGGTCAACTCATTTGAGAGCAGCATGACTTTGGGCAAGTTCTATAAACTGAGTTTCTGTTTGTTCATCTATAAAAGTGCCACGACAATAATACCTACCTGAAGTACTAGCATGAAGTTGTGTTAGGAAGATGAAATGAAATCATGGAAGAAGAGCCATAGCACAGTCCCTAGAACCATAAATCTTCAACTAATGGTACCTATTGCTATCAAGAACTTAGGCTCTGGAGACAGATAAGCTAGATTTATGTTTAATTCCAAGCCCCATCACTTTGTAAACATGTGGACTTGGACAAGTTATTAAAACTCTGAATCTCAGTATTTTTCTTCTGTAAAATGGGATCAGAAAACACTAGCGTCAAAGGGTTAGATGGTGGTTAAGTGAAATAACAGGCATGAATACAGAGATATTTAGTTTGTAAAATCAATTAGACTTAGATGGTAAAATTAATATTGGATTGGAGAGTGAGAGAGAGAGAGAGATCAAGGCAAACGAAAGAGGCTTTTGTCTTATAGATAGAAGTACACAGAGATGACTGACCGATAATTAGTTAACAAATCTTGGGCCACCAAGCAGCATATGTATGTCATGAAAATAAGGTAAGACATGTGCTCAGAATGGTCTGAGCAATAAAGCACTTAGGACAGTGTCTGACACAGAGCAATGAAAGCGTAGTATCGCTTTTGTCATTACTAGCAGTGTTGGTACTACTCCTGGGCAATGAGTGTAATTCATATGTGCTTCTCTCCTGTCACCCACCACTGGCCTCCTGCTTGATCATATTTGCTGAAAAAGAACCAAGGTTAATACTGTTTTGCTGCCAGCTTTTGGACACATTTCAAAGAGAGAATAGATGGGAAAACGTGTTTGAAATCTATTAAGAACTAAATAAATGCAACATGTTACTGTTAGGGTTACTTTTGCACACCTCCTTGGATTATTGGGGGAGTAAGGGAGGCAGCAGATGTAAAAGAACTTTGCCAAGTTACAAGTGCTGTTTAATATATTTAAAGTGAAATCCATTGTGGACCAATCCAAGTTGTGTATAACAGTTTATTTTTTTGGGTTCTAAAAATATAACATCCTTTGTCATAAAGTTCTCAGCTTCTGCAGAGGTTTCTCAAGGATCTTTAAAGAATTGTG